TCAAATGGTAATACAATTAATTCAGATTTAGTTATCATATCCCTTAGAAGTTGAGATAGAACTCAAAATAGATACACGTTTGTAATAGTACAAGAGCAGTGGTATTTTGTAATTGTTCATACGCTAGTTAATCTGGTTGCTTCACTTACAGATTTAATCCACGCGCAGAAATTCATAAGAATTTAACATGTTTGGTTAACCTTGTATAAATTAGTTGAATATGTGTAGGATAATTGGATTCAAAGGGTAGCATGTTAGTTTGAATTTAGAGTTGATTGTGTTATGGCAAATAATGAAGGCAGTGATGAGTGAATCAGTAAACCAAGATGCAAATAAAATCAGTAAGAGACTTGGGCTCCTCTAAGGCCCCAAACGTAACCGCTTCTGCTCAAACCAGACTTGGGCCCGACTCTGCTTAAGGCCCAGTGCTGACAGCCCTTTCCCTCTCTTATAGTTAAATAATTTCTCCTTTGGGGTTGCTTTGAAGCCCAATCTGCTGAAAATCTTAGTTTGTTTATTAAGTTTGATCCAATATCGTGACGTAATACTTTTATGGATGGGTTATTAGTAGTGTTAATTCATTAGGGCTTTTTCTTTTATTTTAAATGACAATCCATAATAAAAATCGTAGTTCCTTTAGATCGCCCTTTACATAATAAAAGGAGGCGAGCCCCGCCGAACCAAATGCATAAATTGCGGGGCCCTCTTTAAAGGTTCCTATTAAAGTACCTAGAATTCGGGACGTGCCACTTAGCGAATTTCACGGCCTTCCCGAAAGATAATAACACGCTAGCTACTTTAGGCACGTATTTTAATAACATTACCTTCCTAAACTCGGGTGCACATTTATGTGACCCAAATCCAAATCTCAACAGAGTCGAAATGCGTCAAAAGCCACGGGTGCACTGGTGTGACGTGGTTCGAGATACATTTTCACGACGTTGCAATTCTTATTAAAAAGACATAAAATAAAAGCGGTTAAAATAAAAGGCACATAGGTTAGAATATGTTTTAAAATCAGATAAAAGCAAATACAACCGTGCTAGAACCACGGAACCCGAGAATGCCTAATACCTTCTCCCGGGTTAACAGAATTCCTTACTCGGAGTTCTGGTTCGCGGACTGTTAACAGAGTCATAATTTCCTCGGATCGGGATTCAACCNGGTTTACTAATAAAAGCACATAATCTAGAACATGTTTTGAAATCAGATAAAATCAAATACAACAATTGAGCGACCGTGCTAGAACCACGGAACCCGGGAATGCCTAACACCTTCTCCCGGGTTAACAGAATTCCTTACTCGGATTTCTGGTTCGCGGACAGTTAACAGAGTCATAATTTCCTCGGATCGGGATTCAACCGGTGACTTGGGACACCATTAATCTCCCAAGTGGCGACTCTGAATATTAATAATAAATTCCGTTCCGACTGTCCTTTAATTGGAAAAACACCTTTGCGCCCTCGCGGGTGTAGCGAAAAAGGAGGTGTGACAACAACTTTTGTATCCATGCCCACTTTATTGCTTCTGTAGAGTTAAATGTTTATACTAGCATGTTGATCTCTTTCTTCTTATTTCTGCTATGAATCCTTGCTCCCCACCCCCCTTATGTGTTTTGAGTTACAGTTTAAAACATGGCAATATGTAAGTTATTATGTATGGATTGAACTTGATCCTTAAAGGATCCTAACTTCTAAACAATGTGTTCTAACGGGCTTATGGTGAGCCAGCATTTCTCATTGCTGAGTATGCCCACCAGCCTGTCTTTGTCCCTTTCAACTTTCCCCCACACCCTATACCCCTATGTGTATCAATGTCAATTGTTTCCCTTTCCCTTTCCCCTTACAGAATTTTGCACTCGCACTCTCTCTTAGTCTCTTAGTTCTGCCCCCTCCTGTAAGCCTTGCCGTGGGACCTTGACTTCCCTCTGAACTTGGACACTTGAGGGCTGGCCCTTCCACACTGCACTATGTCTTAATCTGGTAATGTATTTGGGGTGTAAGCACTGCCCGGAGTTCATGTGAGACTCTTAGGGAACTTTGACACACCCTAAATGTGAGAAAGGCTTTGAAATCTGATCTCTTGGAGTTGGTTTACTTCATACTTCAGGCAGGAAGTCTGAATCAGGCTCTCCTTGGTTGTACTTCTAATTTCTGATGTATTTTCTTTACTTTATTTTTCTTCTTTGGGTTGTAATAACTTTTTAATAAAACTCTCTAGGTTGGCTAGTGAAGAGGTAGGGGTAACCATGTATGCAAAAGGGATAGATATCATGTCTACAGGAATTTCTGCATTCCCACATGTAGATAATCTGCCCACAGGAATTTCTAATTCCAGCATTCTCATATGTAGATAATATGTCTATAGGATTTCTAATTTCAGCATTCTCATATGTAGATAGCATGTCTATAAGATTTCTGCATCCCCACATGTAGATAACCTGCCTATAGGAATTTCTAATTTCAGCATCCTCATATGCAGATAACATGTCTATAGGATTTCTACATTCTCATATATAGATACCATGTCTATACGATGCACATGCATGTAGAAAATACACCTCTAAGTCCTTTCTAATTCTTGCATATCCACTTCTCACATAGGCCAACATGTTTATAGGTCTTAATAACCAAATGCAATCAAATGTCATGTTCATATAGAATCCGGCATTTAGATGTCAATGCCTATAAGGTTTTTGCATTTTTACTACATGTTCTAAAGTCGACAAACGCATAGAAAGCATGCCTATAGGAGTTAATCAAATCTGAATTGCCCCACTCGTTTATAAATCTAAAACCAATAATAATAATGCATTACCAATCGCAGAAATCATGATCTTTTGCTAAAACTTGCCTTTCTTTAATAAACTGATTACTTCTCTTAAATTAGTATAAGTTTAGTTTATTTTGTTGTTTCTAAGATCAGTAGACATCATGCCTATAGGATCCTCGTCCAACACCTAGGCAAGCCTTAGGGATAAACACTATAAACTGAATCAGATTTTGTTAGTTACAACCAGCAGGCAGGCCTGATTCGGGCTTCTTATCTGAATTATGTAATAAATCAGTCCACCTCAAATCTTTATGTTTTAGTTGGACCATAAACAGTACGTCCAAGACATGCTAAAACTATGTGCTTTCTTTGCTTTAAAGAAGGATTGTCTGAGCCCCTTTATTTGTTTATGTGCTTCCCCAAAACTTGCTATATGTGTTTTCTTGTCGCCTTAGTATTTTACCTTTTGAAACCACAAATAAGCCAATATATCCTCCCCTAGGACTAGTAGTCTCAAGTACCTCCGGGGCTGATAGGAATGGGGCGGGTAATAGCATGCAATAAGTAACCGAGACCATTCCACGCTTTAATACGTTAACGGGGTGGGAAAGGGTAGATATGGATATGATGACCACGCGATAACGTCACGTGTAGCCTCTCACTGAGGAGTGATTACCGGATGTTGTGTGGGGTGATCCATATTATTAATAAGCCTAGGACCCCCCTTTCCTTTGTTTCTTTGTTTCTTTTAAATTTTAAACTATTTCTTCTAAGAAAAGTCAGTTTTCTTTTGGTTCTTTCTAACTTTGTTTATCCGTAACCATTATGTGAAATCCCCTCTTATTTGAAGTTTTATTTGCCTATGTGTTATTTGCATTAAAGTCACAACAATAGTTTGGCCGAGAAACACACTAGTGGATCCTGAGGGGTGCCTAACACCTTCCCTTTGGGATAATTTCAAGCCCTTACCCAATCTTTGGTCACTTGACTCAAATCTTTCTTAGTGTCCTAATGCACTTAAATCATAAGGTGGCGACTCTTCAATTCACAAACTCAATTCCCAAAAGGGAACGAGTTGTCTTCCCAAAATGTCATAAACCCTATTTCGCGAGAAAAAGGGGGCGCGACAAGTTGTTGCTTGACAATCATCAACTCAGGACCGATTTCAGAAATCTATAGAGGCAAATGGGGCAGTTAGCAGCAAATCAAAATACTAGACCTGCAGGCGCTCTCCCCAGTGATACAGAGAAGAACCCTCAAGTTAATGCAGTTACACTCAGTAACGGAAAAGGAACTAGAGGAAGTACCAAAGAAGAGAGAAGACAAGCCTATACCTGAGGGGGAGTTGATTCCTAAGGCGACACATGAATCAAAGAAAAAGGATGCAACTTCAGAGCCAGTGGAAGCTGCAAGGTCACCACCACCTTTCCCCCAGAGATTGCAGAAAAATAATGACAATCGCATGTTCAGTAAATTTCACTTTATGTTGAGCCAGCTTCAATTAAATATTCCACTGGTGGATGTACTTTGTGAAATTCCAAAGTATGCTAAGTACATAAAAGATATAGTGGCTCACAAGAGAAGATTGACTGAGTTTGAGACAGTTGCACTTACTGAGGATTGCACTTCAAGGGTCCAAAACAAGCTCCCTCAAAAGCTTAAGGATCCTCGCAGCTTCACCATCCATGTGCGAATTGGTAATATTGATGTGGGTCATGCTCTTTGTGATTTAGGGGCAAGCATAAATCTGATGCCCTTATCCTTGTTCAAGCAATTGGGTCTGGGAGCTCCAAGACCAACTACTGTGATGTTGCAACTGGCTGATAGGTCCATAGCACACCTTGAGGGAGTGATTAAAGATATATTGCTACAACTTGGGAAGTTCATATTCCCTGCGAACTTTATTATACTAGATTATGAGGATGACAAACTGATTCCAATCATATTGGGGCGACCTCTCCTTGCTACTGAGGTTGATATTGTTAAAGTGATAGAGGGAAAAATGATTTTGAGAGTGGATGACGAGGAAGCAGTATTTAATGTCTACAAAGCAATCCAACTTCCCAGCCACTATGAGGAGATCTCAATAATATCTGTTGTGGAGGTGAACAAGCAACTTCTTGACACAAGTGTATATAAAGACGATTCTCTGGAGAAAGCACTTATGTTGTTCGATAGCTTGGAGATTGATGAGGAGGTTGAGGAGATGATGCATATCCTAGATGCATCACGTGCTTACATGCAGGGGATACACCCCTTTGAGCCCCTAAATAGGTGAAGTGGACCTCCTCCAAAGCCGTCAATTGAGAAAGCTCCAAAATTGGAGCTCAAACCCATGCCTCCTCACCTTCAATATGCTTATCTAGGCAGTTCTGACACTTTACCTGTTATTGCTTCTTCTGACTTGTCTAAATTTCAGGATGAAAAGTTGTTGAGAGTGCTACGTGAGCACAAACGAGCAATTAGGTGGATGATGTCTAACATTAGAGGCATTAGTCCTGCTTTATACATGCATAAAATCCTCATAGAGGATGGACACAAGCCAAGTGTAGAGTAACAACGCCGACTAAATCAAATCATAAAAGAAGTGGTAAGAAAAGAAGTGATTAAGTGGGTTGATGCAGATATTGTATTTCCAATCTCTAATAGCAAATGGGTAAGCCCCGTCCAATGTGTAACTAAGTAAGGGGGGATGGCTGTAGTGTTTAATGAAAATAATGACTTGATTCCCACAAGAACTGTCACTGGGTGGAGAATTTGCATAGATTATAGAAAATTAAACAATGCCACCCGCAAGGACCACTTTCTCCTCCCCTTTATTGACCAAATGCTTGATCGATTAGCTGGCCAGGAATACTACTGTTTCTTAGATGGTTATTCGAGATATAATCAGATTGCTATAGCCCCAGAGGACCAACGAAAAACCACATTTACGTGTCCTTATGGCACATATGCATTTAAAAGAATGCCCTTTGGTCGCTGTAATGCACTTGCGGCTTTTCAAAGGTGCATGATGGATATTTTTACTGACATGGTTGAAAGATTTGTGGAAGTGTTCATGGATTATTTTTCTGTGTTTGGATGTTCTTTTGATAATTGCTTGATGAATCTTGATAAAGTGTTTGCTAGGTATGAAGAAACGAACTTGGTACTAAACTGGGAAAAGTGCCATTTCATAGTACTTGAAGGTATACTCCTAGGGCACAAGGTGTCCAAAAGCGGTTTGCAGGTAGACAAAGTGAAGGTGGAGGCGATTGAGAAATTGCCCCCACTGACATCAGTCAAAGGCATTTGTAGTTTCTTGGGCCATGCAGGTTTTTATCGTCGTTTCATTAAAGATTTTTTGAAAATTTCCTCTCCCTTGTGCAGGTTTCTTGAGGAAGATGTCTCCTTCAAATTTGATGATGCCTGTCTGAAAGAATTTGAGGAGCTGAAAGGAAGGTTAGTGACTGCACCAATTATCATTGCTCTGGATTGGGAGCAGCCATTTGAGTTGATGCGCGATGCGAGTGACATAGCTATTGGAGTTGTTATGGGGTAAAGGAGAAATAAAATCTTTCACTCTATCTATTATGCGAGAAAAACTCTGAAGCCAGCTCAGTTGAACTACACAATTACTGAAAAAGAGTTGCTTGCAGTGGTGGGGGCATTCGACAAGTTCAGATCCTATCTAGTGGGGACCAAAGTCATCGTCTACACAGATCATTCAGCTATCAGATACCTGTTTGAAAAGAAAGACACCAAGCCGAGGCTGATTCGTTGGGTCCTCCTCTTGCAAAAGTTTGACTTAGAGATCCGAGATCGAAAAGGTACAGATAATCAAGTGGCTGATCACTTATCCAAATTAGAAAATCAGAGCCATGTAGCTGAAGGAGGGTCAATCAAAGAAACATTTCCTAATGAGCAGTTATGGGCGATTACCTCAAGTGAAGCCCCGTGGTATGCAGATTATGTGAATTTTATTGCAAGTGGGGTGACACCACCAGAATTGACACCCAATAATTGAAGAAGTTTCCTACATCATGTGAGGCTCTACATGTGGGATGATCCGATCTTATACAGGCTATGTGCAGATTAGTTGGTGGGAAGATGTGTTCCTAAGGAAGCGATGAATGCAATACTACATGACTTTCACGCTTCACCATACCTAGGTCATCACGGTGGGGATAGAACCGCCCAAAAAGTTCTACAATCAGGTTTCTATTGGCCAAATTATTTAAGGATGCACATGCCTTTGTCAAAAAGTGTGACAGATGCCAAAGAACCGGAACAATCACGAAGAAGCACGAGATGCCGCTGCAAAATATTCTGGTAGTGGAGATTTTTGTTGTTTGGGGGATTGATTTCATGGGACCGTTCCCATACTCTAATGGTCACAGGTACATCTTGGTGGTGGCCGACTATGTTTCTAAGTGGGTTGAGGCCATTGCACTTCCCACTAATGATGCAAAGGTGTTGGTAAGCTTTGTAAAGAAGCACATCTTCACACGCTTTGGGACTCCAAGAGTGTTGATAAGCGACGGAGGAACTCACTTCTGCAACAAATTGCTAAATAATGTTCTAGCAAAGTATGGATTTAAGCACAAGGTTTCCACTACCTATCCCCCCCCCCCAAACGAGTGGTTAAGTGGAAGTTTCAAACATAGAGGTAAAGCAGATTTTTGAGAAAACAGTAAGTGGAAATAGAAAGGACTAGGCCGGAAAGCTAGACGACACATTATGGGCATTGTCGAACTGTATACAAGATTCCCATATGTACTTCTCCGTATAAATTAGTTTATGGGAAGCCATTCCACTTGCCCGTCGAGCTTGAACACAAAGCTTATTGGGCAATTAAAAAGCTGAATATGGATATGGACTTAGCTGGGGAGAAGAGGTTGTTGCAACTCAACGAGCTTGATGAGTTTCGATCGCATGCATATAAAAATGCCAAATTATATAAATAAAAGACTATGAGTTGGCATGACAAGCACATCCAACATCGAGAGTTTGAGCCGGGTCAGGATATTCTCTTGTTCAATTCAAGGTTGAAGCTTTTCCCTGGAATGCTTATGTCTCGTTGGGCAGGTCCTTTTGTTGTGGTAAGTGTGAGGCCTCAAGGAGTTGTGGAACTGCGTGATACGAGCTCAAGTGGTACGTTCTTGGTAGATGGCAGAGAATAGAACATTATTGGGGTGATGACATTGCACATCACAAGACCTCGGTGGACTTGGCCGATGCTTAAAAATGTGTTGAGTCGTGCCGCGACGTTAAATCAGGCGCTCGTTGGGAGACACCCAATTTTTTTACTGTTTTCGTAATGTATTTTTTTTGTTTTCTCTTAGCTAAAGTAGACTAACATTTTTGTTCTGTTGTAGTTGTATAAATAGTAGGTGGGGATGGTGGAGTGTGTGAATTATGTATTGAGGGCACGGGTAGTTTTAAAAATAAAAAATAAAATAAAATAAAATAATAATAATAATTTTCAGCGAACTGAGCGCCCATCCCAGCGCCCCATGCTGGCTGGGGCACATTTTACAGTAGCAAAATAATTCCATCGTCAGGCGTGGGGCGCTGGGCTGGCCGGTCATAGGTAAGTTTTTTCTTTTTCTTTTTCATTTTTCTTCTTTGTTTAATTAAAGACCCAAACCCAAATAACCCAACCCAATTACCCATATACACTCAGAACCTAACCCATACCCAATATCCAAAACCTTCTCCAAACTAAATTAAAACAACAAAAACTCAAAAATACCTCACCTCTCTCAAACGACTCCCTCTGTTTCTCCATCGACTGCCCATTTTCTCTCTCACTCTATCTCAATCTCTCTCAAATTCTTCAACCTATCTTGCTCAACTTAATCTCAAGATTCAAAGGTATGTTCTTCTTATTCTCTTTTCTTGCATTTTAGAATTTTTTTTAGTGTAATGTTGCCTATACTTCTTCCATAACACCTAAAATCCCATAGGGTTCTTTGATATATCTGGTTGAATATTGTGGTCTTAATATGCACGAAATTGGTGCAACAATTTGGTTGTGAATGTGTATTTGAAGTAGTAAACTATAATTCCCTCTAATTCATGTAAAATTGGGAGGGCCACATTGTCCCACCATTGTTGAAATACCAGAGCAAATTATGCCCACAAGGTGTTTACTAAAATGCATAAGAGAGTAAATTGGAACACCAGTGAAGTCTAAGTAGCCGAGTGTAGTTGTATTTGAGTTTGGGCGAAGTGTGGGGTGTTTGGAGGTATTGCATGTTGTTGTAAACTCTTGTAAGCCATATTTAGTGTACTAAATTAGTGTAGTAATGTAGACTTTAGCTTTCTTATACTTGCACCGTAGTTAAGTTACGACCATGTTAAACTACTTGAATTGTATGGCATAGGGAAGTCTTGAGTACCTATAGCCTTGTGATGACACATTGATGCATGTTGAGTCGATATTATGATTCGATTATGCATAGCCTTCGGTGTTAAGTGTGGGGTCGTCTTTTCCCCTCACAATGACCTTAGGCGAAATTTCTTGATTCACTCTCATCTTTGTGTTTGTCAAGTGTAGGTTTCTATGGCTCGTGACCGTGCCACTAAAGGACAAAGGGTGGGGAAGTCCTCCAGTACCGCTCCCCCTCAAAAAAAAATGCAAGCAATGTGAGAGCTCTTCCCGACAAGCCAAGGGAAAGCAAGTGGCTAGCGGGTCTACAAAGCAATCGCGACCTCGGTTGGAATTTGTAGATGATGATGCCAAGAAATAGCGTGATAATTTTGTAACATACGGGAGATATGTGTCTGAGATGGGGATAAATGTAAATGCTTTAGAACAGAGCTTCCCCGATGTACTTACCACATTGATCGACAAGAAGATGGATAAGTTCCTTGAATGTACGGGCCCGGCAAATCCCAGCATGGTCCAAAAACTATATGCATACTGGGAAATGAAAGATGATGAGTCGTGCATCAAAGGAAAGACCATTCCAATGCATAGGGGGCCTTGTGTCATTTTTTGGGAATTGATAACCCGAACCTGCGAAGGCTTATAAAGTTTGTCAAAAGCCCACGCTACCAAGCAATGCGTCACACACTTTGTGGCGTTGAGTCCAATGCAACATGGACGCAGACTAAGGGGGATGTTCACCTTGAAATGCTTAGGTTTAACTTCAACAAGACGGCTAAAGTTTGGCAGAACTTTGTAGACTAATGCCTGTGGAGCATAATAGTGACTGCACTCGAGCTCGAGTGTGCTTGATCTATTTTTTGATGACCGGGTGCCCCATAAATGTAGGTGAGATCATGCTTCAG